GGAACTCTTTGGTTTCTTGCATCTGAGCTTGGCAAGATGAAATTTCCCACAAGTGGGTGCTGCTTCTGGAAAATCAGCCTTTAATTTCCACTGGGGAGTTGCCTTTATTTCCTGAGATGCCTCAAAGATACCATTGGGGTTTGCCTTTCTTTTTCATAGCTGCTGCTAAGACTTCTATTAAGCAAATAAGAAAGTCTTCCCTTTTTGCCCACTTCACTGGTTTGTACCTTGCCTCATGTTTTCCAGAGCTTTTGTATGAATGGCCAGACTGGGAAAGCAAAAAAAGGCGTTCTGCATATGGTAGTTGGAACTTGAATCAGTTAATGATTGAAGGAGCCCATTGGAAGGAAGATACATAGGAAAATGAGGTCTTCAGCCTCTGGGGCAAAACAGGCTTATCACTTCTGCTGGAGAGGAAGCTGGGTTGGGTTAAATCTACAGTGTTTCCCCCAGGGGTAGACTTATTCCTCTGCTCCTCCGCTGCAGCAGCTTTGACTCCAGCAGCCTGTAAGTAAGGAGATTATTACAGAGGGGGTGGGGGTGAATTTGGAGACAATAAGAAATGCTAATGATAATTTAAAAACTTGTGTAGAATTGCTTTAACAGTTCAAAAGCTGTATGTTGAGCATAGGTAAAAGAGATGAAAGCTTATCCTGAAGCATCCAGTGGACTTCAGTAATTGCACCCATGAAACCACCTGTTTTTATTTATTTAGCCAGTGTAATTCGTTGCAATCCTCATTTCTGGTTTCCTACACAAATGCTTTTCTCTTTGCAACTGAGATGTGCTGCTGAAGGCAGCACAGGGCAGGAATCCAGGGGCATCCCCCAATGGTGCTGAGGAAGATCCCCCTTGAGCAGCAGAGGGGCCTGCTGCCAGCAGGAGGATGGTGGGGAGCTTGTGGAAGGGCTCCCCTCTCCTCCCAAACATTTTCAAAGCCAGGGACTGTGAGGTGTGAGAAGCTGCGAGGGCTGAGGGGGAGAGGACTGGATGTTTAGTGTAGAGGGAGATAAGATAAAATTATATTTCTCTGAACTTCGTGCAGCTTTCGACACACAGCCTTCAAGATGCTGTGAGGTTGTAGAGGTCCTATTGCAACTAATACAGTAATGACCTTGAATTTGCTTCCAGCTCAGCTGTACTGCTGGAGGACAAGGCATTTCTTGTGAGCAAAAAACATTAAAGCAGCACAGAGATTTGCCTGCATAGCTCCAGTTTTCAAGAGATTTGGGTATCCTTGCTGAGGCCTCACTGGTAACAAGGAATTGCAGATAAGCTTCTGCAGTAGTTAATGTGTAAAGTTTTTGGATTTATTCTCACTGGTGCCTCATCTTTTGCTTGTAGTGTCAAATACAAATATATTGTTGGGTGCTGTTTTTTTGTTTTATGTGGGTATTGAAATAAACAATGCCAGGAGACTTCTTCTCCTTTATAATGCCTTTATTAAAAGTGATCAGCTCAGGATTGGGTGGCTCGGCAGGGCTGCAGTCCCTGTCGCGTCTCCCAGG